TCCAGCACAAGCCACGTCTCAAAACAGAAAGAGAACACTGAAGAGGCAAAAGCCAGAATGAAATTGTTGATCCATGAACAACGAAGCACACTGAAACTCTTCACAGCACCTACTGCAAGCTGAAGTACCCAGTACAATATGCAAGCCCTTCGTGGTCCTCTGTAATCATCAGTGAAAAGAATGTTATAGCTACTACTGTAAGGATAAAAAAACATAGACTGCTCACAGCTGTATCACATAACAGTACATGTGCAAACGATACATGTAGCTTAGGGAATAAAAAACTACACACGCAAATAGAAGAGAAAACTTAAATCATACCAAGGTGTAGGATTATACTCTGCAATTTCTACTTGCCTATTATATCATCCAAACTTCACCATGAGGCACTAGGCTAGGTTAAAAACTAACAAGCAAGCCGACCCAGCCAACAGAAATCTGTGATTGGTGGGAAGAGGCAGCCTTCAGGCCTAGAGCCTTCGGGCTCTTTCTGTACATAAACTCTTTTCTATCTTAATTGAGAGGTAGAGCTCCTGCCATTTGTTTAAAAAAAAACCTAACAAGCAATGCATAGAGCTACAGAGTATCAACGCATTAGCTAAACTAATCTTCAGGATCTTTATGTTGTACCCAGACACACAGGTTTAAGTCCTCATAGTTGTCATGGAGGCACAAGGATCATATGACATGAAAAATTAATTGATTAGTAAATTAGGTGGTAAGTGGTAAAGAACCAGAAATTTACACACTGCTGGACTCTCAAACACAGGTTCGGATGTTGGTTCTCAATCACTCCCCATCACAAAACCACAAAATGACAATGCTAAGCCTACTACAGTACAAGACCGTGAAGAGATCTCTAGGCTATGGTCAATCAGTTGGCATCCGATCTAGTTCAAACAACCATTTGTAAACAGAAAAAAGGTAACATGTACCAAGTACTACTATTCATGAAGTGGCTTCAACCCGATAACTGAGGCTCATTAACAGTGCTTTGTTAGTCAATTACTCCATTTAAACACCGAATCAGATCTCAGATCAAAGACTAATTTGAAATGCACTGCTACATGACACCAAACAATACGGGGGGGATTTTAACAGGCTATGCAAAATGTTACAACACCTAAAATAAACTCATACTCGCACAACTGACAAGTTGAGCAAAAGCATTCATCCCCAAAACTTACATTTTGTCAGAGATGACGCCAGAAATGGCACCGGGGATCAGCGCAGCTGCAGTGGTATAGGCAAGGCGCGCGGCCATCTGCTCCCTGCCAAGCCCACACCGCACGAACTCATCCTCCCCGAACACGGAATGGATCCCTTCAACCACTGCACAACAACAACCAACACCACCCGATTAGGCGCGGCGCGGCGGCACAACAAAGGCAGGAGATCGGAGGGTAGCTGCTCACCCGACGCGAGGGAGAAGAGGACGAGGAAGGCGCGGCGGAACCGGAGGAAGGGAGCGGTGCCCACGTCGAAGGGGAAAGAGGACCCCGTGGCGTGCGCCGAAGTCCTCGCGGAGAAGTAAGGGAGGAGGAGCACCGCGGCGAGGGCGGCGGCGGAGAGGAGCGGGTAGGCGAAGGGGGTGAGCGCCCACTCCTCACGCTCGATCACCACCCCCATCGCCGGACTCAGTTCGTCTCCTCGGGGTCCGTGGCTGGGTCGCAGGAGTTGGAGGAACGGGGTGGGACCGGACGGCGAGGTAGTGGTGTCGCCGTCGCCGACGAGATCGACGGGGAAGGGAAGAGGAGGAAATGGGACTCGGGCGACGAGAAGTTCGGCTGTTGGGCCAAGGCCGAAGGACGTATTTGGGCCGGTCCAATTATTAGGACGTCCACTTTCCCTAAAATCTTGAACTAAATTTCGTCGACTAAAACAGAAAACAGAATGCTTTCGATTTCTCGGAAATTAGTTCACTGTTAACGACGAATATAATTTGCACTGTTAAATATTCCCGATCAAATTACATCGTTTATTTTCTATGAATTATACTTATTTAATGTTGACAAGTTTATACAAAAGTATATTACTCCATTCATTTCAAAATGTAGGTCATTTTAGTTTTGTCCTCAATATTTTTTTCTACTTTCAACATGTTTACGTAAAAATTCATCAACATCATTTTGGTAGATTGGTGTTGGCTGGTTACAATAACAAGTGAAAATCAATTGCAAATCATTAATAAAATTTAATTTTTATAGGAAGAGGAAAAATATTACAATTTGACTCTAGTAAAACAGGAAGAATAAAAAAACAAGAAAGTAACCTTTCAAGACCTAGGGTGTACTCAATGGGGCTCACATCATAAGACATTTTGATGTCTTGTTCACATGTGGGATGCAATTTGATTAGTGGTTGAATATGCATGCCACTATTGGAGAAAAGAGCACCATGGCTTGAGGTTTATTGTAGAAAGAGTTAAATGCATCAGCGGTCCTCGAACTTGTAAGCGTGCGCCACATATGTCCATGAACTTTAAAAATGCATTTATGGATCCCTAAACTTGTTAGTTCGTGCACCATAGTTCCTCACCACGTGCCTGGATGGAAAATCCTCGCCGCGTGTCCTGCCCGCACGGAGCTCTCTGCGGTGCCGGAGCGAGCACCGTTTGTCGCAGTGTGGCCGCCATGGCGTCGAGTTTGTGGCTGCAGCCAACAAGGAGGAAAGAGTGGTCTATTTTTTATGAGAAATAGTGATGAATTGCTGAATCATAGGACTGTATGCTATTGAGTGAGGAGTATGTGCAAGTATATAACTAAAAATAATGACAAAATTTTACAACATTTCAAGAACCTAAGAATCATGAAAAAAAAGAGTACCTAAATTACCCGGTACTCTAGTAATCTAGCTTGGTGGTATATATGTAATATATGTTACATTCAGCGATTATGATTAAAAATGTATAATCAATTTTAGTTTTGTGTCCTTTATAGCCCTATTATTTTATTTTCTTTATTTCCCAACATATCTAGGTCCAGGGTCTACGAGAAGATGAATAAATGCACCAAATCTGCACTGATTGATTCTGTTTGGGCTCTTTGGGAGTGTTTTTATTGTTATGTCGCTCTACTCTATGAAGCATGTAGAAAATATGTATGTTTTTGCAATTTCTCTGTGTTTTTGAAAGCTATCGGCAGGAGATCTGCTGGGCATGGTTTTTATTTTTTTTTTCTTTTGCATTTTCTAGTTGTTCCTAAACTACCTTGCACCCTATCTTGGCAAAATACTATCTAGGCTTTCCACCGGTAAGAAACGGCTTTCTCCATTCTTTAGATGACAATCCAGCGTCTTGATTAATTCTTTAATTTGCCCATGCATACATGTTTATGTATTTTCGCTATATACATCCTCGATGGAGACGGTATATAGATGCGTGACCGACACACAGGAGGTAGACATTCGGTAGCTGTATCGATCTACTAGTACTATTTATAGTACTATTTATCTATTCGGTAGCTGTATCGGGCATGTTCGCTTGAACTTATCAGCCAGCTTATCAACTAGAATTTACAGTATTTTTTTCTCATAATAAAACAGCTTCAACCGGCTTTAATACCAGCCGAACAGACCCAAAATAAACAAAAGAATGTGGACAGTACCATCTCTGTCAGAGTGCCATCGGTCGTAGGCAGCGCACCGCCCACGGAACGAAAGTGTGCAAAAGTTTGCTATCAGGATGGCGAAAACATCAAAAGTGTCCATCAAATTTTTCATAATATTTTAAGCCGAACCTCAGTAATCGAACGTGGACACGTGAGCCCCAAGGACTTCATATCTCCTCAGTAATCGGATGTGGACACGTGAGCCCCAAGGACTTCATATCTGACACGGACGTGTGGGTCTGGTCTTCGTATTGGAATCGGATGGAATGCAGACGCATGAGCTCCGAGCGGAGGGTGATTCATATCTGACACGGATGCATCATGTAGAAATAAGATTTGGTATCACTGGGTAGATGATGATGTTAGAGTCTTTTTAAGTGTAATAGAGATAGATATAGATAGATATAGAGATACACATAGATAGTCCAAAACGTGACAGAAGAAACGGGACGGGGTCTCCATCAAAATTCAATATACGCATGCCGCACTAGCAGGTCCGAGAGCGAAGAGACCAAGAGACGTACGTGACAAAACCTCTATAGCTGCCACCGCTGCTCACTGGGGCTCAGGGGGCCGCCGGTGCAACGTATCATCGCAAAAGCTAAGAGAAATAAGTTGATACACACACAGAAAAAAAGTTGATACATGTAGAGAGCATGTCGTGTTTGGTTTCAACTCAGACAAACTTGTGTGAACCATGTATAATATCCTAGACATCTCGTTTTAAAAGCGCTAGGGTATATAGAGATTGTTACACAGATACTAAAGAGGTGTTTCACAATGGCTCAAACCAAATGAATCCGTTAGGGGTGTAAGGTGGCCATTTTACTATATGCTAGGTGGGTACGTAGTAAACTGTTCTTTGAGCATATAGTAAACTGTATATATAGAATATATAAAAATACGCCTCCACTGCATAATGCAAGTCCCAGGCGATGCAGCGGTTAGGTAGCTGCTGCTTTTCATTCAGTATTCACTGTTCGGATCTGACTACCTGGCTGATCAATGAACGTCAAATGAGCGTTCGTCGTTGGCCGCCTTTTGGATGATCCGTCAGTTCGTCTGCGCAGCCCCGCCGCCTGATCAATGAACGTTCGTCGTTGGCGCCTTCGCTCATGCACCTTCCCGCCGCTTCCCCCCTGCCCGCTTATATTAATATAAGAACTCAATGGATCACGTCGTGATCTGATCCACATGATGCTCCCGATGCAGACGATGCACCACCAGCACCCGAGCAGCAGCAAGAAAGCGCCAGCGGCGGCGGCGACGGCGCCACTGCCAGCCGTCGTCAAGGTCGGCGACCGCCGCCAAGGGGACGACCCGGCGGCGGCATGCCGACGCGAGGCAGCCGCAGCGGTCGTCGCCGTCGACGTGTGCCTCACCGCGGCCGCCATGGCCGGCGCGGCGCTGCTGGCGTGGTGGGCCGTCGCGTTCCACCCGTCCTACGCGCAGCTGTGGATGGTCCCGCTCGGCCTCGTCCTCGCCGGCACCCCGCCCGTCGTCTGCCTCGCGCTCCGCTTCAGCTCTGTCTCCCGCGCGCCGCCGCCGTTGCTGCCGCCGGGCAAAGGCTCATCCGAGTCCGCCGGTGCGCCGCCGCAGCCGCCCTTGGTCGACGTGGTCGTCCACAAGTAGCGCGTACGTGCGTGTGCATATATCAAACGTCTGATGACGATGATGTATATTCTTTAATTAGTTTCATTTGGGGAACGGGCTTTTTTTTTTGACTCATTTGGGGAACGAGCTAGGCGAGGTGTGATGCATTTCTTTAATTTCCCACTGGAAATATATATATTATGTACAGAGATAGAATGTAAACAACAACATGCAGTTTTAACTTCCTATATATTTTCCTTGACCTCTTGGATTTTGTTTTGACTGTCGACTACAAACCCGAGTGATTGTTGATCATCCATGACGACACGTATTCCTTATTAGTGCACTACTAATGTTAAATGTTTCTTCTTCCTCGCCTTCTCCAAAATATTAGTTTCTTCTACAAGCTCGTCTCCATGGTGTGACGGGCCGTGCACCGTCATCCTCCTCCCCATCACCGACTAATCCCCTGATCCCTAACCTTGCTGCACTTGGGGCCGTCTTGGGAAATTAAAGGTGACATCATGTGTTAATCACACATCACAGTTCATAGGACTGGAAAAATCGACTAATGGCAGAGTTCATGCATGCCATTGCTGTCTGTCACTTTCCTCATGATTTAAATTACATGCTGCGCGCATGAATTTTGTAAATTTTCCTAGTTGGAAAACCCGAGTTACTGATTGCACAGGTATTATCCCACTAATGGAAATGTGACTAGGTTGAGTGGTTATTATTTACTGACTGAGTTTTGTAAATTTCTTTCTTTCATTTTTTTTTTTTTGCAAAAGCCATATGAGATTCTCTGGTGGTGACATTATGTCTTTATTCAAATAAGTAAACACCACATAAAACAAATAAACATTATCTAGCTATCCAATTTAATTATGCACACATTTCCCTCTCCAGTAATTAATAGCTAGCTTATTAATTTATAAGTAGCCGCTGAGGAAAAGAATTTCATCGTCGCATATATATACTGCTCCCTATATCTAGTTGGTGACTGTGACGCTCTATATATTCCAATTTCCAAAGGATGATACACACACACACACAGCAGCAGCAGGTCGTTGTTGCATATGATGCTGTGTGGAAATTAGCTAGATAAAGCTGAATAATAATAATAGATAGATGGAACCTTCCTAATTTGAATTTGCTCCGAGCTTTATTACATGGTTCAAACTTTGAACGAACTTTCGCGAAATTCGGTAATTTCGGTGGTGGCCGAAAGAAAAATCCGAAATTTTGTAATACACTAATACATGTGTTATATAACTTTAGACTCAATTTTTTATTGTTTATATTGCATATTTTTACAATTCAATAGATGTGTAGTCATAAATCATACTAATATTTGTTTAGATTTAAATGTTTTTTTGAAAAAAATTTTACATACTTCATGTGCTAGTCTCTAAAAAATTTCAGGACCTTGATTATATATTTAGCCTCGCTTCGCGAATTTCGATCGTGGATTATAATTTGGAAATTCGGTAGTTTCGGTGGTGGCCGAAATTTCTGCAATACCAAAATTGGAAACCCTGTTATTACATGATAGCCAACCATCTTTGAACGAACCTGCATGCATATGATTCTTGGCGATTTGCTGAGGCGGCAGAATGTTGAAGGGAAAAGCGCCCACCGCTGTGCCGCGACGTAGACATCCACTATATATATCTACACCTGTGCCGGTTTTCCACTTTGGAGTTTATTTGGACTACTGCTTCTTGTGAGGAGAAAAGCAAGATTTTTTTTTGTCTACTCACTCCCTCCGTTCTAAAATACAATGTATTTTATGTTGTTCTCCATATAAAAAAACAGTATTAATGTCCACGATATTAAGGAGATAATTTATGAAAGTACATTTCGATGTTGTTAGGCTGATGGTTTCTAGAAAAATATTTTACTTTGGTAACCTACTAGCCATATTGGTAAACATAAATAAGAGAATACTAGCTAAAATAAAAATGAAGTCAATAGAGTAAAACATTGATATAGTTTGCCAAACAAAAGGTTTTTACCAAAAACAGAGACAAATATGGATGCTCTTCAAGTAATAAGCAACAACTATGAACTTCTCGAATCAGGCATATAACGACCTAATAAAAAGATGATCTGACATCATAAGTAACACTTATTCCCCCAATATGGATTGGGATTTGAAGGGTTATGTAAGCATCCCGGCGAAAAAAAAAGTATCTTGATGAAACTTAGCATGTTTTGACTTGAGAGAATTAAAAAATACCTTGTATTTCAGGACCGTTACATGAGTACATATTAAGGATGACTAGTCACATGCTCGGGACAATTAATTGGGCCAGGAGTGTAAATAAATAAGTTAAATGACAAAGTTGAAACGTAGACGATGGTGACTTGGTGAGAAGGAAGGATGGAAAGAACGAAAGAAGCAAGCTGCCCGTGTGTACGCGTACGGTGTTTATTAGCTTGAGTTTGTGTCTTTGTACTCTAGCTTGTTCATCTCTTTTAATTTGATGTGAGGTGAGGTGAGGTGGATTAGGCAGACCCCTGGTGATCATCACACATACATCATGCAGCTAAGCCATGCGTCTCGGGAAGGATCATTTGGGCATGGGAAACCCCGTGCCGGTCTCATCTGGACGAGACGAGACCAGACTGATGCTAGACTCGCATGAATTGCGCGCATTGCATTGCTTGGAGTCTTTGGACGACGGCGACGCCGCCATTGCGTCTCTCTCGTCGCAATTAATCGATCTGAGATTGTGAATGCGATATAACTATGTAAGCTAGCTTAGCTAGCCCGCCTAAGCTGACTAATAAGCACCAAGTCATATGCGTCAACGGTGACAGCACAGAAAGGGAAAAGGTTCGATTTGGGTCCCTCTCCAACTAGCCCAAAGATCAAGCAGTATCTGAAAAGGGTCGTATATAGAATATAATAAAATAAAAGTCATCGAAAATGTTTGAATATATGTATTTGCTTCCAACAAGCAGTAGACAGATTATTCACAAAAACATCTTTTACGTCCGTGCACGTAGAAGACAAATTCGTTTTGTCACGTGGAGGGAACGGCATAAATATTTCAAATCCAAATTCGTTTTGTCACCAAAAAGATGCCAAAAAAAGATCCAAAAAAGGAAGATGCATCGACAGCCCAGTTGTGTACCTAACGGGTTTTCGGCCCACTGTAATACAAATGCGATTGCCACGAAGGTCGATCCAATGGCTACGAGTTGGGCCATCAATGTTTACGACTACTACTTGAATCCAGGTCCAGCCCACTCAAACGGCGCGCGGGGAAAGGGCCATACCCTCACGTGTTGCACCCAGGCTCTCATAATTCGCATTCATTCGCCGGCTGCCCAAGTTCTGCTTTGCTTGAACTTGAATTTTCAGTTTTTCGCTTTGATGTTGTTCGGTTTCAGTGGATTAAAAAAACGGACTTGCTAGCGTCACTGGCGTCCGTACATCGCTAGCATCCGGATGCTACCGGAGCGAGCGAGCACCACGCGTCAGGCTCGCGAGCGAACACATCAGCAGTGGACCCATGCCGTCCCGAACGTTGCTTGCGCCGTCGGCCGCTTCTCATGTGAATCCCATGTGCAACACCCGATTTATTTTTAAAACATCTAGATGCAACCGTTGGGTCATTAAAAAAAAAAGGACAGACTTGAGGATCAGGCGTACCCATCTCGCTAGCGGCGGCGGCGACAGTTGTTCGGTCAGTTGCTCGCGGTAGAAGACGGGTACCGTGGTGTGGACCGTAACCAAACCAACCCGTGCGGGTCTCCAAATACGGTTTATCGTGGGCTGGTTTCTACAGGGCCACTTAACGGGTTCTGAGCCCATGGCTACGAGCTGGCCCTTCAAGATTTACTACTTCAAATCCAGGTCCAGCCCACTCAATCGGCGGGGAAAGGGCCGTACCCTCACGGGTTCGTGCCTCGGTCCTCACGAGTACGCTAGTACGAGTATCAGCGCGCGTGCCTGGAGTCCCGAGTAGCGCACGTATGCATACGCGCAGACGACGAGTTGGTGCGATACGTTTTTTAGAAACCTATTCATGGGCCACAAAGCAGGCTTCTATCTTCTCATGTCTAACTTTTTTCTGGGCCGGCCCCTTGACATTTTTCCTGTATAGATTTGGGCCAATGGGCTGATTTAGATTCTACAAGTTTTTTTTTCTCTTTCGGGATAGCGGGTTTGTGGGCCAAAGAGCGAGAAGATGGTTTTACATCCATATGGAAGGAGAAGTAGTATTTTCAAAATTCATAATATCTTTTGTTCCATAATACTTTATATAGGATTAATAATTCAATTGATACAGAAAAATAAAAAATAGTTCATAAAAGACATGCAAGGTTATCAGCAAAAAGACTAGAGAAAGGAGTACATCTTATTTATCGAGATATATAAGACTTTGCAAATAGCTAATATAAAACGCATGTGGCTTCCATTTTTCATTGCTAAATAGTTGTCATTAATACCTGAAAAAAAAAACAAGACAAGGTAAGCAAATAAAAAATGCATGAAATTATGTTGAACATTACATTTTTTGTATGTAAAAAAATATGAATTCTATGAAATGTAAAACTAATTCCAGAATTTATAAACTTTGAACACGACATTACAAACTTTGTACGGCTAGGTTCAAAAAAATTTAAACTATCACATTATAAATTTTATATTGCTAGATTCAAACCTTTACACTCAGAATTTATAAACAACTATGACATTAGAAACTTTGAATTGCTAGGTTCAAAATTTTTAACTATCACATTATAAACTTGGTACTAGCAGATTCAAAACTTTGATCTATAATGTACTGCTAGATTCAAAACTTTGAATTTATAAACTTTAAGCTACCATATTACAAACTTTGTAGTGCTAGATTTAATACTTTGATCTATCACATTATAAACTTTACACTACTATGTTCAAAACTTTATACTCACAATTTATAAACTTTAAACTATGACATTACAAACTTTGTATTATTCAAAACTTTGAACTATCACATAATAAACTTTGTAGTGCTAGGTTCAAAACTTTACATTCAGAA